CGTGACCGCCAGATCGGCTCAAGGAGGGGGGGGGACGGAGAGTCATGCGCCTCCCTTGCTGGTCCACGTGACCGCCAGACCGGCACAAGGGGCTGCAAAGGGTCGTCCACCTGCCGTCCAGGCCCCCCGTGATGATCCAGTCGTGACGCGCCAGTTCGGCCTTCTGTGATGCTCGTGGCGGCATCACTGAGCTCGCATGATTGGCCGGCCAGACAACGACCTACATGAGCCCCAGACGCTGCCAAGTGCTGTGTGGCCGGTTCCAGGAAGCATTCCTGGGTAGCATGCGGATGGCGCGTTCAAGAATGGCCGTGGTTGGAGGAAAGGTGCTGGATATAACTGATGTTAAAGTAAAGGATTGAGTGTATGGCTTAGTGGGTCGAACGAACACCCAGCTTCCATCCACAATAATTCGTCAGCGGTTGTTATGTTCATGCTCAAATCAAATTACATACTGGTCTTCAGGATGAAATTGCTGCTTCAATAAGTCATAATACATCAACTCGTTGCATACATATTGCAATATTTCGCTATTGGGCTCATGTTTCGGCTAGGCGTGCGAACAAGCAATATCTAGACCAATCTAGTGCGAGATGTGCCCATAACACATTGAGTGGACCTACTGGTAACATTTATCAGCGGGCTCCAAAAGTATCCTGGGCTTCTTTTGACAGCAGCAGGCTCTTTTTTCGGCACACTCCCACGATATGGCAGGGCCATTCGGCGTATGTTCATCAGCACTTGCATCGGCCATGTTGACGTCTAAAAACCCACGTGAGGCAAGACCTTTCATTAAACTGGAATGCTGGTGACATACTCATACCGCACGCGAAGGACACGGTATGGGTCTGAGGATCACTCCCCACTCAATCACGACTACATTGTCAAGTTGATATCACGATAGTGCATGAAGTCAGCGTGGATACAGCACTGGCCAACTGAGGATGAAATTAGAGCACGGACCAAAGCGGGTGCTGGTGCGAAATAGCGATATGGGAAAGGGCGAATTCCTCCTGCATTATCCAGAAAGCACCTTGGGTAAAAATCGCCGAAAGACGACAAAAACGCACTGTGGAAAAACACAGCTGTAGGAAAACCACAACCGCAACTGGACTTAAATGGAATTTCCGGCGATGTGGGGATTAGATGGAAGACAAAACAATCCCATGCCATAAAGCCCAAGCCGGCATTCGTACCGAGTTGCACTGAGCGCCGTGCCGATAAACAACCATTTACTACCAGGTCCGCATACTTGGCGGCCAGCGAACTGGACGCCACGGCCTGGCTGCCCACCGCCAGTTGTGGCGCGCGCTGATGCCGACCGGTGTGTGACGTAGCCGAGCCTCAGATGCCGCGATAGGCGCTGAGAGTCGCTGCCGGCAGATAAGGTGGCCGGGTGCAGCACGCCCCGCGGCGCGGCCAGCCCTGTCCGGCCGCCGATGCTGGCCCCGGCCTTCTGAACAGCGCTGTGGGGACCCGGCAGTGGACACACCTCGGGACTCAGCTGTTTAACCGAGTGGTTAAACAGCTGTCATCTACTGTCCTTCGGCAGTGATGACGTCAGGTCATGTCTGTGTTGGTCGCGAGACGCGGCGCACGATGAGCTGCATTTAGACGCTTCAGCCGCTGCGTTCATCGTCGCCCGCGCCTGCAGCCTCGGGTGGCAGAACAGACTTCGCGCTCACGGGATCAATGTGCCAGTTCGGACGGGTGGTCGGCGAACAGCAGTTACAAGCCTGCCAACTTATCAGCTTGGTTCTTCTACATCGGCGGGCTCGAAGCCACTGAAGATGTTTGTAACCAGAAAATGAGCTCGCTCTTCCAATTTTATGAGGAGTAAGAAACTTTGATGCATCTTGTTGCCATGCTCATGTTCATTCTCTACGGTTTAAACTTTCCCGACTGTCGCCTAAAGCGACCTTGACTCGGTTTTGATACAAACGTCTTATCATTTGGTGCAGTGGATGAAGACCACGGTCGCTAGCCGGAACTACTGTCACCGGGGCCGAATGACCGTCGGCTGTCACTGGGCCGCATGATCATCAGCTGTCACCGGGGCCGGATGACCGTCGGCTGTCACTGGGCCGCATGATCATTAGCTGTCACCAGGGCCGGCCGACCGTCAGGTATCATCGAACACAGCTAAGCCCCTCCAGATCCGCGATTTTCGCCGTCTGAACAGTGCACTTTTCGTCAGGCAGAGCATGCGCACTTCGCTCTGTTGGCTTGAAGGCATTCTGCTCTAGCTCGGAACTGTCGGTATTCAATGAAGCGCTGTGAAAGAGAATTCACACACAGCGCGTAACTGCTACGCGCAGATCTGGCACCATGTTCCGAGCCTTTTCAAAGAGAACTTTATTTGTGGTTTATGCTAATGCTCCGGTTCTCGTCTGTGCTCCTCAGACGTGTCAGGAAATAGGTGACGCCCCGCATACTCAGCGTGATGACGCAGTGCAGCGCTGTCATTGAGACTAGTCGGTGCGTGGAAAAGAGCTCGAAGCTGCATTGTTTCTGCAAATGCGCATGAAGCGCTCCGGTAGCAGGCCTGATCTGAAGGCCACTGGGATAAATCCGGCGCTCGTTGCAGCCACGTGGCGAATCGATGTAAGCCACAATTAGTTGCTGCTCACGCCAGCTAAAAAATACCGCATTCGACGAATCCAGCCCCGCTGCAGTTCAATGAGATCTTGACGGTGTAGCACGTCTGAGATGAGTGCATTGAGAGAGCCTGGTGGGATCTCCTAAAAGAGTAGCACACGAACACACTCCGAGCGGCAGTGACCCATCCCCCTCCCCCGCCCCCATACGTGCTCCTTTGATGGCCACCTCGCGCCCGGAGACCGTGCCATATTAGGACGACGACAACTACTTTCGGTTTCGGCGGCGGGAGGCGTGATCAGATAAGGCCGGTATGTGGCGAGTCGAGAACCAGGACCACACAGTAAGACCCGGCGGCGGCCGGCCGGCCGGGGCGCGGCGTGTAGCACACAAGCGGCCCGACGGGCGTCCGGCGCCTCACAGCTTACCGCCACCTGGCTCCTGACGAGGCGCCGCGCGCGCGGGCAGCGGCCCGACCACCTCCGCAGCACGGCTCGCCGCGTGGGGGAGGCCCCGCACACTGGACAACCGGCTCAGGACACGCCCACAACCCACAAACAGCTGCTGGCTCAGAGGACACGCCGCTGCTGCCGCGCAGGGGTGGCTCCTGGGAGCATTCATCCCTCAGCAGCAGCGAGCGAGTCGACGCCGATGGTCCTTGCGGTGTGGGTGGTCAACGCGCGGACACGCCGGCGGTGTGTCTCGGCTTCCGCGCGACGTCGGAGGACGAGGACGCCAGGATCAGTGTCCTCGGGTCATGAGCGCGAGAACGAGGGGCTCAGAGGTTACATGTCCCATTTTCGGGAGCAAGCTCAGCATGAACCTTATAGTGGTGCGTGGAAATACCCGGCCTGAAGACATAATAAGGTCTCCATACTTTCAGGGCTCCTTCGCGAATGCTCGGACGATCAGAGTTCGGAGCATCGTGCAACTCGGTACCGTGGTACGAGACGGATAATCCGGCCACGAACCGCAAGTCCGTATGGGTAACGGCTGGACGTCCTCTGGCCTCTCACCGGTATCGTGGCGACACGCCCCAGCGCCCGCTCTAAGCCCGGACCCGTGCGGTCAGAGGCAGTGAACGGGTGATGGCAGAGTCGCCTGCGCTCCGAAGCCGGCCGGGACCCCCGCTCTGCGACCTCCGATGGCCGTCGACAGCAGACTATCCGTCAATGTTCGGTATGATGTATGGTAGGAGTTGCCAACAGTATAAACAGAGCATTGAGTGGCGTATGCCTGTGGAAATAAGTTCATTTCAAAGCATGACGGGAGGAATTTTTTTCCGAATCCACCACCGATTTTGCTGCGGAGTACCGCGGTGCATAATAAGTGCGCTCCTTATTCGGGCGCCGCTGTCGGACAGGTCGGCCGTAATGCAGCCGTCGCCTTTTATGACAGAGCCGCGCCCTCTGGACAGAAGCTGGGCTGAGCCGAACGGCAGACTGCTTCAGCAAAGAACCCTAATCTGGCGGCGCCGGCATCACGTGCGGCTCCCCTCTCCGCTGCCGCGCCAGCGCTGGGCGGCGGGCAGGCCCGCCCCGCCCGCGCCGCTGCCGGGTCTGCGAGGTCGTGTCGGCCGCTGTTTGCGCGCATGTCTGACCTCGTTGTCTGACGCGCGGCACCGCTCAGCTGGCCGTCACCTGGCGCGTGATCGCCAGCCGGCCGGCCGGCGGCGGCCCCGGCCCAGACAGCCGCCCGCCGGCCCGCTGCATTGTGCAATGTGCAATGGCCACTGCTCGCCACTGGCCTGATACCAACTTCAGGCCGGATCGTCAGGCGCGGGTTCAGGCGGCGGCCGCGGACTTTCTGCCGCGTTGCGCAATGAGAAGTTTCTCGCGCCGCGCGTCATGCACTCTCCGAGGTGCAGGTAATACGGGTGCAATGTTGCATCATGCTCGCGCTGCAAGGTCATGGACCCTTTAGTTACCTGGCTTCCACAAACGGCGCGCGCCCCCCAAACCCGCCAGGCATTCATTCGCGGCGACGGGTCGGCCCCGTCGCGTTCGTCCACAGCTTTCCCAAACCGGCCGCGGCTTTCGCAAAGCCCGCCGGAGCGCAGCGACTGCAGGCCGCGCCGGCATCCGCGGGTGACGTAACGTCGCCGGCGCCGGCACCTGTATGCCGATCAAACACGGCGCCGCCCTCGTCTGCGGTTGCCGTCGCGGCGGCATCCGGCGCGGCGGCGGCGGCACTCGCGTCGGCATGCCGGCCGCCGCCCCTGCGCTTCTGATTCCGCTAATTAGACGGCGACGGCGGCGCCTGCAGCCGGCCACGTGGAGCCGGCGACGGACCGGTCGGCGTGGCCGGCGGCTGAGGTGACCCCGCCGCCGCCGCCGCCGCCGCCGACGTGGTGACTAGATATGTGCGATAGCGGCGGCCGCGGCGGCCAGCGCGCTACTCACCGCGTCGCCCGGCCCATGCAGACGGGTCGCTGCAGCTCGGCCGGCGCTGCGCCGACGCGCGCGGAGAGGCTTCCTCAGCCGCGGCTCCCGTCTTGGCGCACCCGCGGCATGCTGGCCCGGCGGCTCTCACTGGACGGCCTCGCTGGCCGGACGGTCTCGTCTCCCGCACTGCGCGCGCCGGACGCGTGTCTCGTCTCCCACACCGCCCAGCCAAACTCGTCTCGTCTCCCGCACTGCGCTGGCCAGACGCGTCTCCTCGGCGCACCGTGCTGGCTCGGCTCGCGTCGTCCCTGGTTCACTGCGCGGCGACTGGGGGCGGCAGGGCGGCGAGTGGCCCGGCCGGCAGCGACGCTCGCTTCAGACTGACCGCGGGTTGGTGCCCGGCGCGGCCGGGAGCCGCCGCCGCTAGACGTCACCCCTCCCGCGCCTGGCGCGGCCGCCCCGCCCCTCCCGGCCGGAGCGCCGCTGATAGCCCGGTCTTTTGCGATACAAGATCAGTTGCGGAGAGGGATATTCAGCGGAGCTCAGCGGGGGAGGGTGACGGCAGAGGGAGTGGCCGGGCCCTGGTGTCGCCACTTCGGAGGTCAGGGTCAGCGCCGGTCCTGGGCCGCCAGGGACCCCCGCACCGGCGCGACCTAGTCGCGCGGTCGACGCGAAGGTGCCCTTCCGAGCAAAGGGCATCGGCGTCGGCTGTCGGCGCGGTGACGCTGTGTCTGTCCGGGATTGCACCAAACGCGTCGAGGGCTAGCAGGATGCAACAGATCCGGCCCCACCCACCACGCCCTGTCGTTGCTAGGTCACAGCCAGGTGCATCGGCTTTTGAGCTGGGCCAGGCCAGACTTTCACGAGCAGGGCTACAAGCGTTTTCGTCGCCTTGTTGCTATGTTGTAGCATATCACCAGTCGCGTAGCATGTGTCCATGTATCGGCCGCTTGCTTGTTTACTCGGCTTAGTAATTCAAGTTTACTTGCACTGTTACATAGGCCGCGTGATTCCCTAGCTCAGTACCCACTCTTGCTGTGCCGTTATACAGCCACCAGTGTCAAATGTTCCATGATCATTAACATGTTCGAGCATTCCTTTATCAAGTGAATTGATATGTTTGGCACGCTAAAAGGCACTGATGGCATGAACCCGAAGGCTTACAAAATATTGCCTCCAAACATATTCCAACAATGCCAAACTGCAAAAGCAACAATCAACGCAGTAAAACGTCATTTTTCTTGACTTTTCATTCATGTGATATGCCGAATCTGGATTTCAAGCCAGTGTTTGGTCTAGCTCATAGAAATATGTTATCAAAAAAGTTTGCTTGGAAAATAAAACGGCATTCAAACGCGCACATCCCTTGGGCGGGAAATCCAATCGACATTGCTAACAACGGCATAAAAACTGCGAAATCACAACTTCGCCACCGGAACCGCGACCACCATGGCTATGCAGCACTGCGACGCCAGGACGGCGTCATCAGAACCGCGACCACCATGGCTGCGCAACACCGCGACACCAAGGTTGCGATCCCAGCTGCGATACCAGCACTAGGACACCAGCACCGTCGCGGTGCTGGTGTCCTAACTGCGACACTCGGGTCGCGACGGCAGCACTGCGACGCCTGGAATGTGACACCAGCTCCGCGAGCTCAGGGCTGCGACAGCGCTGCGCCTGTCGCGAGGTGACGCTGGAACGGCCAGAGTATGCCCCGGCACGAAGCACATGTGCCGCGAGGCGTCGTCGCTGGGGGACAGTTAGACGCCCGTGCGGTCCGGCCGGCCGGCCGCATCCTGCACGACTTAATGTGTGCGACTGTATGCGCCCGTCCAGATCAAGTCGGACCGGTGAGCGGCCCTGCAAACGACTCCCCCATTAGTCAGGCTGGCGGGGAATGTGCGACCGGCCCAGGGGAAGTTCTCCGGGTCGATTGAGGAGTGGTGAGCTAGACTGGCGGCTCGCGAAACGCCTCAGCACGCCACATTAACACCCCGTACCCGGCACAGGAACAGTCGGAGTCCTAGATAGTCACATTATTTGCTTGTCTGGACGTGTGAACCACGTGTTGCAGCATAACCTAACAATCGCTCTGTGAGAGCACTCGGCTTTTAGGTTTGCAAGAAAACTGTAACGAACGCATGCTTCTTGAAATCTACAAAATGGCACAGTCAAGATTGTACGAAAAGCTGGTTGGCCATATCTGAGACGTGCAATAAGCATGCAACCAATCTTATTGCATGCGCAGGAATCTGGATATCAATTTCGAGCACCGGTGTAAGAGTAGACATCTCTTTACGTGGACACACCAGAATACGCTCCAGAAGGGAAATATCTAGGAGCTATTGTCGAATGTCACGTTCCAGACTGTTAGTGTTTCTATTACTGTTCCGGCAGAATCACTGCCACATATTAGGGCAAAACAGTCGAAACATACGACACCTCCTAACGAGCCACTGCGAGCCTTCGGACACGAATACGCTCCTCTGGAGGTGATGCAGGTGCCGCATGACATGCAAAGTCTGTGGTCAGTCTTTGATGCAATCAACGGCAGCGCCAACGAAACGCAACAGGATTCCAACGTTATGTAACCAATCCCCGCACTCCTTTCTTTGAGCTTGTCTGTGACGTTTATCCACATCATAGTTACCCTAGACCCTGGCAATCAGTTACATGCATGCAACTGAAGAGCAGTGCACACCAGCTTCGGACCCACGCGATCAGTTCACGCTCAGCGCCTCAACATCCGGTCGGCTTCATAGGATCACCGTCAGGTTCTAACGGAACGTCTCCCCGCCTGATGTCTATGCATCAGCAGGGAGCGCAGCTCTGCAGACGGCAGAGGAGGAAGCGTGCCCTGTGTGGGGAGAGCCGGCAGCCGTCGAGCCGCAGCTCGCCCGCGCGGCTCTCCAGACGGCAGGGGAGGGAGCGTGCGCTGTGTGTGGGCGAGTCGGCAGCCGTCGAGCCGCAGCTCGCCCGCGCGGCTCTCCAGACGACAGGGGAGGGAGCACGCGCTGTGTGGAGGAGAGCCGGCAGCTGTCGAGCTGCAGCTCGCCCACCGCCAAAGCTATGGCAGCTCTTCGGGAGACGGCTGTGTCTTGGAAGCGGAGGGACTGGGAGGCTGGCGGACGGCTGGTGGCGCACTCAGAGCTCGTGCACTCAGCTCGGCTTGGTTCTCGTTCTCCCAGAATTTGAAGGCAGAAGCTCTGGCGGGCACGGCCGCAACGTTCTCCACCAGAGAGTGTAGAAGACTGCTGCTTGGGTTCTCTTCGATCCAGTCCCATATCCCTCGTAAGGCAGCTGTTCAGCTGGTGGCAGTACAAGGAGAAGAACATGAGGAAATTTGTGGCATCCGAAGCGAATGAATTTGACATGTATACAACGTTGTGGTAGAGTGTGACGTTGCTCGCTGTGATGAATCACGGTAATCTACCGAAGTTCCGAGCGTCATCCAGGCATGGACACCTGGGTGCAGTATGCTGCACATTCACATGAATGAGCAAACCATGTCCATTGACCTATTGAGAAACGACCAATTGACCGTCCACCTCTCAACATTCGCACAACAAACCACATATATTTTGTCTGGTGTCGAAACCCCAGAGTCCAGTTCACCGTCTCTGACTTCTCCCTCTTCTGCCTGCGAAAAGCAGCTGCTGCCAGCGACGCCGCCACCCAGTGGCGCCGGAAACTGTGCAGCACGTGCAGAGCATGCCGACGTGCGGACGTGCCCACCGCGGCCGCCGCGCGGCGGCGTTCCAAGAACGACGGACCCTGCTTCGCTGGGCTGATCGCCAGCCGGTGCTGGTGGGCCGCCCCGGAGGGGAGGTGGAGGGGCGGAGAGCCGCTCCCCGCACCTGGGGTGGCGGGGCGCGAGGGGAGTGCCGCCAAGGAACCGCTACACGAGTCATGACGAGAGTGCAACTCACCGCGGCGACTCTGAGCACTCGAGTCACACATGCACGCGCGCGCGCGCGCGTGCGTTTCTGAGGCTGGCAGGGGAGGGGAACACGATGAAGCACTTAGCGAGGCGGCCTCTAAGGTAAGAAGACCGTGAGATGAGGTCAAGGGTCTGCACTTCGCCGGAGATGGCTCACGCATCTGCATGACGGACGCACTGAGCTAAGCGATCCTTGCAGGCTTCGGCTGCGACGTAGTCATCGTCCTGCACAGCGAGAGCTTTTGCAACTGGCTTGACTGTGCGGTGAAGACCTCCTCTCCGTCAGACCTGATGCAGCGTTGTCAACTGGAGGGCTGACGTGTTTATATTCGAAGGCATCCAATAGCAAATGGAGAACGGATACTAGAACCTGCCCAATTCGGAAGGTAAAATTTTAAAAAGAATGGTAAACTGCATAAGACATTTAGAAAGGCATGAATATCCATGATGCCCTTTCAATGCATTATGGACAGTTTATGTTCCCGAGAAATCCTCATTTGGCTGCAGAAATAAAATTTAGGACCACAAGGTTTCAGTGGCATGGTATGCAAGATGCCTGACAATAAAGCTATGGGTCCCAGGCTATAAAAACATTGTTGCAATATGCTACAAACTGGTCCCAAATGAGAGCCTCCGGCCATTAAGGTTCATAAGGTCAGATCGTCACCGCTGAGTCCCATCACGCAAACCTACCGCATGAAATGCGCGAGTTGTCTGTCGAGGTGCTTGCCTCGTCCGTATTGTGGACAAAACAGCTGTTGGCCTCGTCGGTGTACCGGTCAACGTGGCCTCCGGTACAAAATACCTCTGGTTATTTGCAAACGTGCTGCGCAAAATGGCCCGGGAGCACAACCGCGTGGATTGTCAATGCCGTTTTGCTGCCTTTCCAGATAGACTGGATGTCAGGCGGATATAACGAAAGACCTATGGATGTGACTACTGAGGGGCGGAGGTGGGGAGATGCCCCCCCCCCCTCCCCTCAACTAAGCCAAAGTAAGCCCTTGTCTCCCGAACTCCCTTGCAGAATGCAAGTGCTGCATAGATATTGGGGCAAAATAACCATTTTGGGTCGGAATATCCATCCTGAATTAGGAATCCACACCTACAATATCGATCTGTTTCCAAATGTCATAGAGGCTGTTGCCCCCGTGAAAAGGCGTTTTCGGTTGTTCTCCATGCCCCAAACACAAAGCTGCTTCTTATTTTTGACGCAATGAAGTGTTTTGTAATGGTATAGTACCCAGTTTCAGCGCTACAGTGCTAATTTCTAGCGTGCGAAGAGCAGGCTGCGCTCTTGCGAGGTGGCTCCAGCAGGATCCGATTGCTGTTTAAGTTCAGCACTGGCACAAATGATGAAGAAGGCTTAAATAACCTTGTGATTTGGGGCAAACGTTCAAGACGCATAAATTCTCTAGGATC